TTAATTCGTTTTTTGTTGTTTCTCTAAAATGGTCTGCTGCATATTTAAGACACAATTTTATAATCGGTTTTTAAATTCGAGCTTCTGTCAAAGTATTGTACTTTCCTTAAGAAATTTTAATACCCGAAATAATGTCTTATTTTTTCCATAAAAAAGTTAATTTTCAAGAAAGCCTTGATTTAATTAGATTTGGGGGTAAACAAGAAATTAAATAACTAAAGATAAAAGTGGTTGTTTCGTATGTTATCATCTCACCAAATATGAAGTTCATTACCCCGACTAGTTTCGACGCAATCGGGATAATCATCTTCATAGTTTTGTAAATTTGTGTTTTCTTCGTTATTCAATTTGTGCTTATAAAACTGTTAATCACTACGACATTACAATGCTAAAATCCAAAGTTCGATTCCTCGCAATGAACACAGCGCTGTTAGCCCAATGTGTAGCTCTGCACTAAAATAAACGAACGAACGAATGTTTGTTTGTTTGTTTGTTTGTTTGTAATTAAGCACAAAGCTACCCAATGGGCTATCTGTGCTCTGCACACCACGGGTATCGAAACGCGGATTCTAGCGTAGTAAGTCCGCAGACATACCGCTGTGCCACTAGAGGGCAACGAACGAACGAGGCACTATGATTCACGTCTCTTTCTTGGAAAAATTTGCAAATTTTGGCGATGAAAAAAAAATTGTCAAGCGTCTAGTCTGACTTATCAAAATAAAACAAACTTTAGCAGGATATAGTGGACAGAAAAACCTATAAATTACATTAGATCTGATAGATAACAAACATGAGATAAAAAATTAAACGAATTTTAATTTAAAAAAAACTCAATATATTTTTAAAATTTTAATAACTTTTAAAAAACTAATTTTTATGAAATTATTTTATCCATTATTGCTGAAAAAAGAAAAGGCCCTTTTATAATGAAATTTTATTCCTCTTTGTGACTGTACGCTTGGATTTCTTATGCAAGCAGAGACGCGTGAGTATATTTTAAAAAAGCGTGATCACATATATTCACTAGCATTCATATTGTCTGTTAAATGTAAATATGTTTGGCACAGCGATATGTCTACGGACTTACAACGCTAGAAACCGGGTTTATATATCCGTGATGGGCAGAGCACAGACAGCCCATTGTGTAGCTTTGTGATTAACTACAAAACAAACAAATGTGTTTATTTGTTTTAGAGCAAAGCCACACAATGGGCTATCCGTGCTCTGTCCACCACGGGGAATCTAACTTCATATTTTAGTGTTGTAAGTCTGTAAACTTACTGCTAACACATTGCGAGGACGTTCAATGTAAAACATTTCAACCACTATGTATTGTTTAAGGCCACTACTTTCTTACTTCATGCTAAACCGGATTTTCAATACCATTATTATTATTGTTAAATAATGCGTAAGATGTATTATACAGACGCACTAGACACTTATTATATAGAAAGGATTGAAAATATTTAACATAATATAAGAACAAAGAAAAGTGTCAGTTGATAAATTTTGTTAAAGTATCCATTTGAAACTTTTTTTTTGTTGTTTTTTTCTTAGAAACATTAACATGAGATTCCAAAAATAAAGTAAATTAATTAAAACTGTTACTGTGGATTTGAAGGTAACACTAAGTTAGAAGTGAATTTTGTAATGTATAGTTAATAGAAGAAACATGTTTTTAAAGGTATAAGAGTAGATAAGCACAGCGGATCTTATCTTTGTTTTTTCTATGAAATATCTTTACAATGTGTTTAGTCTTTCAGGGTTGCGCGAAATCCAAAAACCTTAAAGAGAGTTTAAAGGAAACAGTTTCTAGAAAGAATGCCTTAGTTCCTTCAGTGTTTCGGCTTTAAAGACAACTGAGATAATATTGTTTAATATTTAAAACAAAGCGTCGAGTGGAAGCTATAAGCTTGAACACTTAAATTAGTTTAGACTAAAGACACGGGAGAAAGAAACTGCCCCAGTTAACGTAAATTTTTGTCATCTCAAATGTTTCATCACACCAGTTTAATAGTACAAACCTTGTAAGTTTTTATACATATATATATACAGAGAGAGTAAACTTTTAAAGATGTGATATTAATTGCTTTACTGGATGAAAGATTTAAAAGTATTCAACCAGACATTAACCTTCTTTATACAGAGAAAGTTAACTCTTAGAGATGTCGTAACAAATAGTTTAGTGGACGAAGCATTTATTAATATACAACCAGACACTAACCTTCTTTATAATGAGTGTACTGCTTGATTTGTGTTTTTTATGTTGTACAAAAGACACCTGATTGGTCTTAAACTTAGTAAAACATTTACAGATCTTATCTTTAATGTTCAATTTTTAAGTAAACTTGTAACTATTGCCTTTGCTATGGAATAAATTGCTCTATTTTTACTTGAACCATAATTAGATTAAAAAAGAACCATTATAGAAACAGTTTGGATTAATTAATATCAATTATATACATTGGGATAAAGACTAATCAGATCTTGACATTTTCTTTGATTTTTGCTCATTGTGTTATCACGAACTAACAGCGTTGCCCGGATTTTCGAAAAAAAAAAACTTACACTCTCAGTTTCCCCTTTCCGTATTTCGATAGGTAAATAATATTTTGTGAATTTATGAAAAAAAACTTAGGTTTGATTTTTGAAACTAAACGACTGACCTGTTTTAAATCAGGTCTTCCTTATGAACAATGTTTTTTTTTCTTCAGTGGCAAGGATAACTAAGCCCTTAGGAGAATGTATAGATTATCTTATATACGTATGGGTATCCGTTCTGGCCAACAGGATTAGCCTAGCTCTATTCCTCCTCATACCCCTTCATCCGTCTTCAAATATCAAAATTTCAAAACTTCTGCATATATATCTTTTGCGTGTGAGGTTAAATATATGATGTATTAGTAGACGTATAATTAATAATCTATAACTAAATAGGCCTATTTATTATAACGCTAATAAAATACAATACAATTTCCAGGTTCAACCCATTTTCCATATTATGCAAGCGCTCTACCAGTTACGCTGACTTGACTTTAATCCCATTGTACACAGTAAGTATTATAATTTAAGCTTTACACTTTTCACGTAGTCTATTTTATGGCAGTCGACATAATTTTATTTTATAGGCTAGGCCCACTGTTTGCTTTTTCACACAGGACATTCTAATTCTTCATACATTTCTTTTGTGTATGGGGTGAAATATATGATGTATTGTTAGATGTGTAGTTAATGATCTATAATTAAATAGGCCTATAATGCATTATTCTAAATTAAATGTTAACTCAAACTTACCAAAAAATGTCAAGTCTGTGTAGTACAACAGAAATTCAGTGGAAGTGCTTGAGTTCGGCAAACACTTAATATTTTGTGATAGTCTTTCAGGCTTTCATGATACGGCTGTACCGAGTGCATGTGGGTGATGACAAGAAACTGCTAATCTAGTTTCCATGGCGTTACTATAAAGGAATTTATTAACACTGTTTTAGAGAAGAAAATTACCCCCATATATCTTAAAGAATCTGGTTGTTTTGTAAAGTAAAGGTCTGTTCCGAATAATAAGGTTGCGATCCTGAAGCTAATATGAGTTACTATCGAGTGTCACTTTCTTACTTATTGTGGTTTGTTGGTGTGTATTGACAAAGAAGGGACGATATCTAATAAAAAACGTCTTAGGTCTGAAAAAAGATGTGGCCAAAAAAGGATTAAGTGTGCTACTTAAAGGAGTGTACGACTTTTTTTAACACTTAAGGTGTTTTTGATTATATTCTTATTCACCTGAAGAATAAAACTATTTTAGCTAAGCCTGTTGCATTGAGTTAGAAATGTCTCTGACAAAATAGTTTGTTTTTATATTTTAAGTCAATGTAAAGTAATGGAGCTCGATTTCGTTTGAAACGTTCTTGAACTTTATTCAAATACACTGGACAATTAATTACATACAAATAATATAAGCTAAGCTACACCTTAAACATAGAAAAATATATAAAAATAAAACTTTAGAAAAAGAATAATTGTAACAGATTGTAGAAATACAAATAAATATAAACGCAAACAAAATTACACAATGGGCTATCTATGCTGTGCCCACCACGAGTATCGAAAGATAGCTTTTAGCGTTATGAGCCGAACGACTTCCAGTTGAGCCACTGGAAGGGGGGGGGGAGATATTGAGATTAGTGTAATTATTATAAAATTAATTTTAATGAGTTCTGTGTAAGTAAGAAATGCTTGTCAATTTTTCATTTCATGCTGTTAAATAACTGTTATTAATTCACGTGTTAATGTTTGTGTTAATATTTAACTGTCTTTAAAAAATATGATTAATTGATTTAACTTGTTTTAATTATTTTAAGATTAGGAAATTTATTAATGTTGTGCAGTCCTGAATGATATCAAAGATTCTGATATATTATATACCCATTATATATCAGTTAATCCTTATAATTTGATGAATCTATGTACATTGGTAGCTGTTGTTTGGACGAAAGAGTCGCCCCCCCCCCCAGTCGGCACAGCGGTATGTCTGAGGACTTATAATGCTAGAAACCTGGTTTCGATACCCGTGATGGGCAGATCACAAATAGCCCATTGTGTAGCTTTGTGCTTAATTACAAACAAACGAAAGAATTGCCCCAAATTCAATATAATTTACTTTTTAATTTCAATAAACGAAATACAACCATACACATTTCTTTAAACATAATTCTAACACTCAAATTTTATTCAGAAACTTTTGTAATAAATTATCTTCCGGTTAAAATGTCATGTAAAACACAGATAATGTGAAGTTATCAGTTCTCGCTCTTATTATAAATCTGTTGCCCCAAAATCAACAGAATTTCTTTTTTTAATTTCAAGAAACGAAGCACAACCATACACATTTCTTTAAACACAATTCTAATACTAAAAGATTACTGAGATATGATTGTAATAAATCATCTTCAGGTTCAAATGTCATCGAAAACATACACAACATAAGTTATCAGCTCTCGCTCTTATTATAACTCTGTACTTTCGATCCTCCTCGTCGAGCTCGGATCGTGTAAGAGTGATCGTTGACACCTGGTGGACTGGAATCTTAACCAAACTCCTCGATGTGTACCGGAAGTGAAGGTTTGAGTTCGCTGTAGTTTTTGTTTACAGAATAATAAAAATAGGGTGTGCTTGAATTTATGTCCAAAGTTATAATAAATTATGAAGTTAACAGATGAATTTAATGTTACCAGTAAATTAGAAAACTGAGTTAAAGAGCTCCAGTATATGTCAAAATATTCTAGAATGTTCACTATAAAGGCAGTCATGTTACAGATGAAAAATACCACAACAACACAAAGTAACATGGTGGCCAGGCTGATCTCTTTCCTCTGCCGAAGGCTGAGTTTCTGACGGTCCCTGTTTGCCCGTTTTACAGTAAGCCAAATAAAAGTATTAAGAACAGCTAGGGTAAGAAAGGGTAGAAAGTACATTATCAACAAGTACATCCAAATATAATAGATTTCAAAATATACTTTGTTCCTACGAAATGAAGAAGGTTGGATGTTATAAACTGTTGAATTAGTGACGGAATCCCATACTTTGATCCTTTGAATTTCCCAAAATCGAGGAATATTGTAACACACTGCTCCCACAGTCACAAGAAGGTTGTACACTCTCGAGCGCTTGCACGTAAACAGCGATCTGGCGTGAAGAGGGTGGCTAACTGCTACGTGCCTTTCGATGGTCACGAGAACAGTCGTCCACACTGATCCTGTTTGAGCAATCAAGGCCAATGGATAAATAACAGGAACAATAAACGGAAAGATGATCCACGTATAAAAATGCAGCCAAGTTACTATTTTTCCTAATGTTACTAAGCCTAACATGATCAACGCGCACATCAAAACACCTGTATCATAGATGGCCAAACCCTGCAAACTGCAGTTGATCGAGGACTGCATCTGAGGCCGAGACAACACGAACAACGAAATGAGATTACCAATTATTCCTAAAACACTCAATGTGGTTACACATACACCCGTGGATATCAACTCAAAATTCGAAATTGGTGATGACGAATCATTGTTATTGGTTGATATTAACCATGTCTCATTCACTTGACCAAATGACTGATTCATGTCTTAAACTGGTCTTTTTATTGAACAATTCATTAAAAATCCCTAAAAGACACGAAATAAGATTCGCCTTTTTTCCCAGACGTTTGTTTATGACAAAAAATAATGAATAAACTAGCTTTCATTGAATTAAAGAATTAATTTTAGAACTAGTTCTTTAGCATAATATTATAAATCACGCACTTTTAAGTATCGTTACAGCACTCGCACAAGCGTAAGGATACATTAAATAAACCATAAAAAATATTCTATTAATTTTCAGTTAATTTATGTCGCATACAGTACTTAAGCTTTGCGTATATATATATAGTTCGTTCCTTTGAAAACGAATTATTTTATTGCAAGAAAAATGCGTACATTTTTATACAAATCTGTTTGATTTTAATAGTTAAATCAACTACAATCTATAAAATAATCATTTCTGATGAAATCTTTCCGTAATTATGCCTACTGTCAGATTCGGGTTTTACCTAACACTGATCTTATAATTTTATGAACATGCTTATAACTTTAAAATCCAATAAACGAAAATTATTAGCATTTTATGCCCTGCTAAACAATCTTCATTGAGTGTACGTATATAATTAATTTACATTTATGAAAAACATTATACGTACTTGTACTACCTAACGTTTGTCAGATAGGATGACCTTACTTTGTATAGTGTTCTTTATCACCTATGGTGATCATATCTGAAATTTTCAGTGAAACCTTAGTTGTTGTATGTCTCTGTTTAACAGGAGTTTTTCGTTCATACAAACCAAGTATTATTATTTCATCCCAGCAGTATGGTAACGTTCATTAATAACAAAGATCGTTTTAGGATAACTACAACTAGAAGAAAAGTTTTCTTTCGGTATTCACACAATACAAAGAAGCAGTAGATTTAAGGATGAGCGAAGATAGCTTGATTCTGCTCGCTAATTCAGAGTTTGAACTTACACAAATCTAAGCATCCTTGAAAAACGTGTTGCATCCTCAAGATATCTAGCACTTGAAGACACTGTTTGAACGCAGTTTAAAACACTCTGCATGAGCCTAGGATATACTTACATGCACGATGAATTCATTCTAGTATTTCACCAATGCATATTTGGAATGCACGTGTTATTGAAGGTCATGTATTTTAAGTGTCTTTCCTCAAAAGCCATATATTCTTCCGTTACAAATTTCATATGTAAAGCGAAAGTAAACTCTTTTCCCGCTTTTGAACTTACGATATAGGGTCATATTTCTTACATTAATTTGGTGGAGAATATGCTTCGATTGCCATCAAACACAAGATCAAAGAAACTCTGAGTTTCATGTTGTTTTCTTGAGCACTCAGTGTTCTCAGGTATAAAAATATATCTTAAAACCGTTCTATAGGCGACTGGAGATGAGACTGAAAAGTATGAGGTATCGTTCTCGTCATCTCAAGTAAACTTTTGTGACTGGCAATAAACTGAGACAGCTTCTCTGACGACACCAACACAGAGAAATGTGAACGACGAGTAGACTGTATTTTTTAATCTGCCTCTCACGCCTGTTATATACAGCGCATGCGTGTTTGAAACTCGGGATGCTTTGAGCAAGAAAATAAACTAGCAAAGCATCAGCTCGATATTTCATGTCATTTACAATATAAAAAATAAAGACTAAGTTGTGAAAATCAATGTGCTTGAGTAAAGATATCAGAGAACCGAAAATATTTGTTTTTGCTATGTTTCTTGCAATATAATCACAAAAATAAGATGTTTTTCTACGTATGCGCTATTTCTCTTTATTTTAGATTTTTAATGGCATCTGGTGACTCAGTGGTAAGTTTGATTTTTATAATGCTGTGATTTGGGGTTCGATCCTTGCTTTGAGTTCAGCACAGACAGCTCATTTGTTTAAGCAACCTAATACTTTGAACGCTGTGTAAATATTACTTATACTATAACACCCTTTAAAAAACAAGAACTTTTATACTTACTTTCACTTATTGTTCATTCCATAATTTCATATTTTTATCATATTTCATTTTGTCAATTGCTAAGTGTAAGCACGATCTCCATTCTCTATTTCTTGTTGATGGAAGTGATATGTTGGATTGTAGTTCCAAGACAAAACTTACACTAAACGTCTTCCTTCTGTCAAGTATTTGAATCATTTCACAGCCTTCAACTAGCACACCTATGACCAATTAATATATATATATATATATATATTTATGGCAAAAGAATACTCAAGTCAGTATGTTCTACTCGTTTATTACTATAAAAGCCAAATTTTTAAATTTGAATTTTTTAAAGATATCGTGCATTTTTTTTTAAAAACTACAGAGGGTTGAGTACGTTTTTACAAAACAGTTTGAATATGCAAACATTGGACATAAATGATCCGGGGTAAGTTAATGATGCTGAATTCAAAAATGTAGCCAGAATTTGTCTATTGCCTCTATATTTTGAGTTATTGTAATATTTTATCAACATTTTGTGAAATTCCGTGCAATCAATTCAGTATAATAGATTTATGCTGTGAAATTAAGTTTACTCGGACAGTTTAATGGGAAAGAGGCATAAATTTTTGATGCCTTCAGATATTGACTGTATTGTGTTGGTGTAAAATCCAAATATATTGTTCATATATACTTTTTTCCGATATAATTGCACCACGTTTGCTTCACTCCCTGTCAGGATTATACAGAGCTGCGGATTCTGTGACATGTTGACGATAAATTCAAACAATAAACGGACAGCACACAATCCAAACAAGTCAAACGTATATACAAAAACTCGTTACACTATTGGTTATAACCGTTGTATCTAAAACTCTAATTAATTATCTTTCTTATCAATAGTCCACACAGGCTGATTCAATTACTTTAGAATCCAATTGACAAGACAAATTATTTTTCTCTACTCTGTTTCTTAGTGCAAAATCTGTGATAAATTCACTTACGTTATCCCGTGGGTTATCACCGTTGTATCCAGAACTTTAAATAATTGTCCACTTTTCGTCAATGTCTGCACAAGCGGGTCCACTTACTTTAGAATACCCTTTGACAAAACAAATTATTCTCCTTATCTCTATTAAACTGTGAAGTTCACTTTCAAATATCGCCCGTCATGGCTAAATTAACAATCACGTAGTCTAACTTCACTTTCACTAACTCAACGTTTTCTGACTTAACTTGTGCTCACTTGGTCGCCTATATATATATATACATTGCCCTACTGAGGCCTAGAACTTTTTACAAACTATGAGACGCTATGATTTGACAATACTCACTTAAGGCAACGAAAAAATACAGAAGGTTCGAGTAATGTGACAGCAGTTGAACTACACACACATCGTTCGACTCTTACTGAGTTACGTAACGAAATTTGTCATAACTATCGCCTTTAAAATAATTAACTTTAAACACTTTTGTTATGGAAACTAACTAATCATTAAATATTAAATCACTAAACAAACTAACTAATAACTCTTATACTAATAGTTCTTGCATATCCATATTTCCCACACTTACCTGCTACGCCCAGGAATCACGAAACCCTCACGTGCTCAGTTTGCTAGAACATTCGAGAAGTCCCTCAACTCACTCACTCAGTTGGTTACTTCGCCTCTCTTTTCACACAGTCAAAACAAAATCCGATCTTCTTCCTCGCATCATACTCGCAAAACTCGTTTTTTTTTAATATTTTAAACTTCAGTTCTGTAAACATAAATGATTTTATATTTTTAAAAAATCATTTGAAATGCTGGCTGCCTCCAGTTCAAGTAAAAACCGAAAGTGAAAAAATTACCCAAACAGTTTCTGCTACATTTGTAGAAATATATTAGAGTTTAACGAAGGAAAAACATCATACACAAGGTAAAGGTAGTTTACTACCACTATTTTGGGTGTAAAATTGGTGACCAAGAAAAACAATGAGCTTCACATGATATATAGTAGCAGTGGAACGATATGTATCAGAACTTCATTTGTACATTTTCTGGCGTTTCGTAGGTAGCGTGATGCCTGTGAAAACTAATCACTTTTAGGAAGGATATTCAATGAATATTTACGAAACAAAGCATTCATAAACTTAGATCGTAAATATGTGTTCAAAGCGAGATTTATAATTTCCAAGATGGGGATATCCCTTGTGCTTAATAGCATTGAAAAGAAAGGAATGTGAATCCTTTTGGTACAACTGAACCATCCTGAAAAATAGACCTTCAACAAGTCGTATCCCAGAGGTAGTAAGCAAAGTACGACATTTTATAACAGGTGAGAATCCACGAACACAAAGACAAGTGACAAAAACCATCCACGTGTCCCGTGTAAAAGTTACCTAATGTAATCAACAGAGATCCATATCTCGAAACGAGACCAATAGTTTACCAATATAAGGCTTTCACTCATAAATTTCGTTCAACCGTGGCATACCTCAAGCAGCTGAAGGTGAAACAGGTATTCATGTTGTGTCATACTAAGACATACAAATTAATTCGACAGAAGAGCGCCTATGCATTTCTGTGTGATCAGGCTATTGAAATGGTTGCTGGGAAACTGTCCTTCTCGTACATTAAAGTGTTATAGAAAGGGAGGGGGGAAGAATGGTGTTGCTTTGGAACATAAGTACATAAGAACTGCTAGGAAAATAGTTGCAGGATATATAGGTGTAATAAACAAGTAAAAAGATTAAGTAATAGAAGCTGATTGATAACTTTATAATTTTATTTATCCACATTTAATACATGCAAATACTTGTTGAGAAAGCTCATTATAATATAACATAAATCCTTTATTGCTTTTTCAAAAATGTTTATGAGAGTAATTTTGGGTTTCAACTATCGGGATTCTGTATATCTGTTATTTGACAAATACAAAATATTAAATACTTGTGAAATAAATAATTATTTAGTAGGTAATATTATGTTTATGATTACAAATGAATTAATTTATTTACCCAGTCTTTGAACCTTTTTAAAAAATATATATCCATTGTCATGATACAAGCATTAATGTTGATTTACACATACCACTTTTT